ATATATATATATATATGCATATATATAAAGAAAGGAAAATTTATTTCCGAATACAACGTTTTGCCGATTAAACATTGGTTTTTAGTTGTTGGCGACGTCGCATTTGTAATCGTAATGATATAAAAATAACGTTGGCAGCCGATTTTGGGCCAACGTAACGCGTGACATTGTTCTAATGTTTTAACAACGTATGTGTGCTAGCTGGGTAACATATATACACATGTATACATTATAAATAACTTTAAAGTACGTACTCAATAAATATATATACATATCTATATATATTATATGATACTTTATTAACATTACACTTAAATATTATATATATATATATATATATATATTATATATATATATATATATATATATATATTATATATATATATATATATATATATATATATATATATATATATATATATATATATATATATATATATATATATATATATATATATATATATATATATATATATATATATATATATATAACTACCGATTAGAAAAATAAAATAGCCATTACAAAAGATTTGAAGAACCCAAAATTTAGGTTTTTTGAAATTTTCCGTAAAATGATTTGAAGAACCTTGCGGGTTCTTTGTATTGCTTTGTAAATAAGCCGCTGCCTCTTCAGAGCACCAATAGAGAATATTAAGAACCCGTAGGTTCTTTAAAGAACCTTAAATTTTCTCCAAGAACCTTTAGGTTCTTCAAAGAACCGGCAAAGAACCGCAAAGAACCTTATAGATTTACAGTGTAGCGCCATTTTAATTGCAAAAAGCAATCATACCATTGCTTTATATAGGGAAAGTTAGAAAGAAATTGCAGAAAAGCCTCTGTCCAACTCAAGTTTATTGCGGATACTAAATGGAATATCCCAAATGTATATCCCATGTAAAACGTGCCCTATTCATGGGGCACGTTTTACATGGGATGCACATTTGCTTAAATATTATATATACGATAACATTAATTGAATCGCGTTTAGAACATTTCTATATAAGTTAAGCTACTTAACAAATTTGTAGCACCAATTCCTATTTTTTCAGGTCATTTCTTGCAATTTCACGTAAAGCTTTTGTGGTGGTTTATTATTTAAAAATGTTTTTATGGTATGAAGTAGTATAATACTTTTAAATGCCAATTATATTTTTGGATATGTGTGCGTATGATAGAACTTTTATTTTTGTTGTAATTATATTTTATTTTTCTAGGGTATTTTGTTTTATTCATTATTTTAATATTAAAGCAAAATTTTTTAAAACCTGTTGCTTAGCAATCAACGTATCAGCATTATTAATCGTTATTATTCATTTATAAAAATTATCTTTTTAACCCTTTCTGGCCTGAATTATGCAAATGTAATTTAAAAAAAAATTTTTTCTTGAAAACACACCTATTATAAGTCAAAAATCAAACCCAGACAGAAAAAATTATATAAAACATTTCATACAGCAAAAGATAGCTATGTCGCGTATTGTACACAACAGGCCACAACGGCCGTATAAGACAAGGTACAATAACACAGTTATCAACAGTTATTCGTGAAACTGGCGAAAACAGTTACTCTTCTTTGAAAGGCAAAGATTTGCATTGCACTTAGTGCATACAAAAACAGTTTGTCCTTTGCACCCTGGACGCTTGCACCTCTGCCTCACACCATGTGCCGGCCAGTGACCAACAGAGTCTGTGCGAACATCCTGAGTTGGCACAGGCTTAGCAGGTCCCCTCTTCTTCTTGCGCTGCAGCTCTGCCTCCATACTGGTTGATGGTCTGCCACGCTTCTTTGCTGTCATGTCTTTGCCTTCACGACAAAGAGCATCAGCTATTTCAAGCTTGAAGGCCATAAGATCCTTCTGCTGACGCTTATCAACTCCCATATCACGACAATCCCGGCGATACAGTAACCAGCCAGTTGCCACTGCCAAGTCCACAAAATGGAAAAAAAAGCGGTGGTAATATTTCTTTGATTTCAAGTGGATCCGATACCTCGCCATGATGGCATCCAGGGTATCAACTCCTCCCATGAACTTGTTGTAGATCTGTATGATTTCTGGGCGTGGCACGTCAATATGCTGCTTTGTAGTACGATCCCACCGCCTCGCAGTTGACACTGGTTCTGCACTAGCAAATGTACTGGCTAGTGTTACAGACTTGTTGTCAAACCACTTGACAACTCGAACTTCGACACCATTGACCACACCCTCTCTTTCTTCAAATGAGCCACGCCCTTTCTTCTTCAGAGTTGCATCAGCAATCATCTTGCAATTCTGAAGACGATTCGCACGAACTGTCCCAACTGCTAATATGTTCCTATTAGCTAGGGCTGACAGCAACTTCAGTGACGTAAACCAATTGTCAAAAAACAACAGGTACTGCTTCTCTTGCGGCAAGACCTCGACCAGCTGAAGCACAATGTTGCCACTGGCACCAATGTTTGCTTGATTGGATGCTGCCTGAATCTTTCCAGTGTATATTATGAAATTATGCACAATTCCAGTCACATCACACAGCATAAACACTTTATAGCCCCATTTGTAGGGCTTGCTCGGAATGTACTGTTTCATTCCCGACTGTCCCTTGAATGGGATAATTTGTTCATCCACTGACAACTTATGGTCAACTTCCAGTGAATGGAACTTTGGCAAGAGAGAGTCAATCAACGGACGTATTTTGAACAATTTATCTCTCTGAACGTCATCTGGAGCAAGCATATTTCCATTGTCGTTGAAGTGAAGATTACTTTTCAGTTCAACCCACCTGTCACGTGACATCACATCTGCAACCTGTGACAAACGCGATGCTTTGCCCCAGTACATCTTACTTCTTGGCAGATTAAAAATAGACATGTACATAGTCATACCAAGAAACTGTTCAATTTCATCCTTGGAACAACCAATAGGCTTATTTACATCTTTTTGTGTTGCATACAGATTGGTGTGATCAGTAATGTGTTCCACCAACCCACTGTCAAAGAAGTAACGAAAGTACTCCACTGGCGACTTTATGGTATCAGCAGAAGCACGTTGATCAGCAGACTCTGGCATTGACTTTGCAGATGATTGGCCAGTAACACATTTCCAAACAGTAGATCTTCCAACAGCAGCAGAAGTGGAAGGCTGCTCATCATCGCTGCTGTCTTGCTGGTCAGATACTTCGTATTCTTCTGTATCGTCACCAGATGATACTTCAGCAACTTCATTGTCACTCGACGAGAGCTCATCATCATCACTTTCTGCAGGAATGTTACGAACAAAACGAGCTGTTGTAGCAGTCTTCTTGTAGAACTGAACAGGCTTCATCTAAAATCAGAATACAATTTATGCTATGATTAGTATTGGTATCTAGTATTATATATCACTATGTTTGCAATAAAAAATACAAAAAAAATATAAAATATGCACAGATACAAAAATAATATCAATATCACTACTAACAGAACAATCATTATAGCAAATACTATATCACAAATAATAATAGTAATAATATTACAAATCATAATATAGCCCAAACTTGCCCTAATTACTAACTCTAGCCTAACCCTAAGTCGCACCTCAGACACTCTATAAAAGTATAGCAGATATAATTGGTATCTATAAGAACACTAAACAAATATATAATAACTATACTAAAACATGGCTATGATACTATTGTAGCTGCTTGTATTACCAGCAATAATAATAATAATATTAGTAATAAATTATTATTATTATTACTACTATTAGTATTATAATTATTATTCCTAGTAGTAATAAAATTGAACACTATTATGAACATGGTAAAATATAAATATATTTCACCATAACAAATCATAAACAAATAATCTGTCATTCCAGCATGTTATATCACACAATACTAAGCTGAAGAGTGTCAATTTTGTATCTGTTATATTCAATGCTATGCCCGATTGTGTATAATTCCACACATACAAAAAACACCACATAAAAATTTATTCCTGCAATCCAGCTACAAATTCAAGGTACTACTATACAAAGACACCACTACTACATAAAATCCATAACATTTCATGGTTATAACTAACCTGTATAACTCGGAATAGTCAGGTCTTCCGTCTCGTAGTAACACCGTAGACCTTCTCACAAAATCCCTGTAAACAAAGCTCGAGCCAAGAATCCAAAGTAAGAACGTCATTGGTTCAACGATTTTATCGTCATCCTAGGTATGTGTACAATACGCGACAACCGGTCATAACGTTCTAAACGCCACTGCTATTAAAGCAGCGCGTGGATCTCGGTATGTGTAAAATTCTACACAACCGGCCAGAAAGGGTTAATTAATGAAAGAATTTGTGCGTGTGTATATTACGTATACAAAGACCGGCTTACAAACGAATGAGTAGCCTAACAAATAAAAAGATAACTTTATATACGTTGAGCTTCTATTGTCTAGCTTTATTTTGTTGTTCTCGTTTTTATTTTGTTGTTCTTGCCATTATTTTTTCCATTTCAAACGACATTTTGAAATTTAACAACTAGTTGTTCGATTTCAAAATGTCGAGACGTCGAACAAATTGTTTTCAAATAAATACAAATACAAAAAAATAAACGATATTTACATTTCGGGTCCGTTGGAACTCTATGAACCATAAGATAGGAGCATCAATAAAATCTATCGTGTTTTGTTTGCTTTTACGTATAAAAATTTTTAATTTGCAAGAAACGAAAAATTAAACAAAGATTTACAAAAAAACAAGAGTTAACTCTTGTTGTGTTATAAAAAATATATATGTTGTATGTATATAATATACATAATATTATGTACATTAACTTGTATAATTTATGTACATAAATCTACATAAAATATACAAATTTTAGGGTTTTATAAATAAAAGCAAACAAAACATGATATGAACCAAAAGTTAGGAGTATCAATAAAAACTATACCACTACTAAAAAAAACTGTTTTTTGGTAGACGGAAGATTTTAAGTATTATTTGAAATGTGAAAACCAGGTTCGTAGTGAAATAAAACAGACGGTTTTGTGTAGCAATGCTCAGTAGCGTTTTAAGTTTGTTTATGAGTTTTTGGTAAATAACTATTTTTCATTAGCAAAATAGTTTACTGAATTTATTCAGGCTACTTAATTTTGTGCTTTATTCAAGAAGTGTAATAGGAAGGATTTGTTTTAAAATAAAATTTTAACTAGATTTAGGTATATTCCACTTTACCTTGATGAGTTGTTCGTAAAATTGTTTTTTGAAAGTGTTGGTATAAAACGAAATAAAAAAATAATTATTTTAGAACATTTTTAATCACTATTCTGTTTTTGATTAGTTTTAATTTCGTTTTTTATTTTTATTTTAGACTAATAAAAATTGAGTATATCTTTACATATTTTAAGCTTTAGCCTAAAGTTAAGATAGTATTACCTAGGCATTCAAGCCTAGAGCCTAGAAAAAATGGAGATTTAGGAGATTTTATTATATAAATTAATGGAGGTAATTTTGTAATCCACATTTTTTATAAATAATTACTTGGACAATATGTGTCTATATAATATTATTTTAAAAAATAAAGACAATTCATAAAATATGATGAAAATCTGTTCATCAAATAGTAAAAGAGATTTATGATAAAAAACATGAGTTCCTAACTTTGTAACATGTTCCTAAACATGTTAAATAGTTTAACTACATAAAACACATATGTGTTTTAAGTCATTGTATTGTTTTATGTGTTTAGACCAAGTTATGTTCAAAAATATTATATTAAAAAATGTGACATTTAAATTAGATTTATATATGTGTTTGATTGCAAGTGTTATATGCAGTCAAATATTTTAAATTGTTTATAGTGCATAAAAAAGTGCCTAAACTTATTTGTATTTTCTTTAGCATATCAAAAGAAATGACACCGAAATTTGCTTTATAAAATGTATAATATAATATATATATATATATATATATATATATATATATATATATATATATATATATATATATATATATATATATATATATATATATATATATATATATATATATGTATATATATATATATATATATATATATATATATATATATATATATATATATATATATATATATATATAAGAGTGCCACTAAAAACAACTTTTTTTAAAATTGTCTGTTGCCACCCCCTATGTTCTATGTAATAAATTAAAACTAAATTAAAAAAATTTTTGAATAAAAAAATATTTTAGGGGTTGCTCAACACCCTTAAACATCAAACGGGTCCCTAATATTTTGAAAAAAAAAGTTCTTCGAAAGTTTTTTAAATTGCGTTTACAATTTATGGAAAAGCAAATTAAAAAAGTGTATTTAAACTTTAAAAATATGTACTTTTAATTTTTTGTCAAAAAATTATAGTTTTTTGGCTATAAAATTTAAACTAGTAATATTTATATAAAATGATTATTATTTTTAAAATTTTTATAAAATTTCACTTATATATATGTATATATATATATATATATATATATATATATATATATATATATATATATATATATATATAAACATACACTTACTAATTTATTAATTCGCATTAAATTCATCCTTAATTACATATGCTGCCTTAAAATCATTAAGTACGCATGTTGAGAATTTCTAGACTTGAGGTACCATGGAGCATAACAAACAGCAACAATAAAGGCACACGCTTTAATTTCATTTTTATTTTCATCAGGTAAAAAAAGTATAATAGTGGATGTCATCTCTAATGTAATAATATACAAAGCATCAGGCATGAATCTTGCTTCGTGACAAGCTCCAGGTTAATGAATTTTAAATTCATTAAACTTATCAGATTCAACGCTAAGATAAAAAGCCAAATATTTTACAAGGTGATTATAGTTATTTCTTGGAAAAATTTTATTCTCCAACAAATACTTTGCATAATCTTTAGCTATTAGCACCAAGATGTAAAACCTGCTACCTTTTTCCAGCTTGTTCTAATCAAATTTTTTCAGTTCTGGAGTTCTTGAATTTACAGATTCATGAGAAATTTCCCAGTGTCTTTGAAAAGCTAAGTACATAGACTTGCTTGGACCCTTAAATTTAACTTTAGTGATAGCCTGTACTGCATGAGTTATATGTGGTTCATATATGTGGTTATATGGAGTTCATATATGTGGTGACGAAACATAAACCAATTTATTGCTCTCTACAGCTATAATTCCAGGTAGGCGATCATCTTTTGTATTAAATTCATGACTGTAACAGATATTGCAATCCTTTCCTTTTTAACTGTAATTTTTTTTTTACCAACTTACTGTCAAAGTGCAAGATCAAATTCTTTCCCAACCTTTCTTCACAATGGCTTGATCTGATGGTGGCTCCTAGATTAAAAAGATATTTTTTCTCTTTATAATCATTATTTTTTATTTTATTATAAATATTTTGAATATAAAATATACTTAAATCTTCAATATACTTGAATCTACTTCTAGCTATTGAGCTTCTAGATATATTTAAATCATGAACATTTCCCCCTAAAGCTTTAATAACAGCTCCTAGAAACATTGTTGGTGAGCAAATGCTAATTCCGCATCTATCACTAACAGGTGTTGTAGCTAATAGAAGCTTGTCTCTGTTGAACTCTATTACTATTTCTGAAAAGCCAGACTTAAATGTTTTTTGACCCTTTAACTGTGTGTGAAAATTAAAATCACTATCACTAGCAACTGAAGACTGGTAAGTCACAGAACCTAAGTAACAAAAAGTGATAATGACTTAATAAAGTGAATAAAAGTTTTATCTTTTTTTTTATAAAAATATTTTGCAATAAAATATTAGGATATAATTTACCTGATGCCTCGGTTTCATCTGATTCATGAGACATCACTTCATCCATTTCTAAATCAATTTTGCAATCAAATTTAAAACATTCATTAACTCTGCATTTTTCTTCATAAGATCTTATTCTTTCATACCTTTTAATTCTCCTTTCAACTCTTTGTTTCATATCAATGTCATACTTTTCGCTCATCACACCTCTCCTCAATGTTCTTTGATCTTGAAGAAAAGCCAAATCTTCTATCACTGCAGCATTCGATCTTGGCATATCTTTATTTTATTTTATTTTTGTTTCTACGTTTTTTTGAGAAATATCAATCAAATTTTCAAGAAATTCTTCAAACTGATTTTCGTATTTTTTCTTAGTAACTGTATTTTTTCTTAGTAACAAAATAACTTTTATTTTGCATTGAAATGTACAATTTATTTAGTTTAATAAATTTTTGCACAATTTATACTTCAGAAGATATTTAGTTTCGAAAGTCAGCATATTTCCATTTATTAATAATTTTTCTTAGGCAGCATATCTACATATTTTCATAACAGAAATCTTTGTCAAGGCAAACCATATCCCTACTCCCGCTTTTTGTTTTGCATGAAAATTTTTCTTTGGTAGACTTCCAACAAAAAGTTCCATTTGTTGGAAGTTGATGTTGAGGAAAAACAGAAATCGGACTTCTGAGAAGGTAAAACGGCCGTTGTGGGTTTAAATTAACATTGTAGCTTGACTTTTTTATTTTAGTGATCTTTCTTTTGCCCATTTGTGATAATAATTTGTTATAAGTATTTATTTTTTTATATTTTGTAAAAACTAAATTACGCAAAAGATTCTTTTGTCAAGAGTAACAATTTGATTAGTTGTTTTTTTATCAGAAAAAAAATGATTGGTTTTAGTTTGTTTACATTTTCTAAAAAGGTAATCAAGATTGCTCCTTTCATTATATTTAAAATTCGATATTTTAAAGTCAAATAGATAAAGTTGTTATAATGGTATATAATAATTTAAAAATATCTGTTAGTCCAAAAAAAAAAATAGGTACCTAATAGGTACCTAATGTTTTAAAAACACATTAATATATATATTGTTTTTAAAATTTCCTAATATTTGGAACAGTGATCAAGAAAAGTTTTTTTAATATACTACTAGTTAATCAGTTAACATCCATATCCTAATACAGTTTTTTTTACAGACAACAGCTGTTAGAATTGTTAAAAGAGTAAGTTTTCATTTAGATGCAGCAGAAATATTCAAATTAAGAAAAACTCAGAACACTTAATAACATCAAATTTTTTTTCAATACTAGCAATCTTCTATAAGTATATAGACAAAGAATTTGATGTGTACAGTTTTTTTTTTCCATATTTTTAGGACACACTAATGAAAACTCATCAGAAAAAACTTTTCTGATGAGTCTATATTGATGAAACAGTGTTAAATGAAAAAAAAAAATTTAAGTGATTTTCTACTAATTTATAATTACGCTGTTCTTTTAAGAACATTGAGCGCTCTATTTTGTAGAATACATATTAAAATTGTTTAAATATATATATATATATATATATATATATATATATATATATATATATATATATATATATATATATATATTATATATATATATATATATATATATATATATATATATATATATATATATATATATATATATATATATATATATATATATAAATAGATAGATAGATAGATAGATATAGATATGGTGTTTAACACGGCTTTAAACTAATTCTATATTGGGGAGGCAAGACTCCTTAGTTGTAGTCAACTTTACTAGAAAATAATAAGGAAAACTCAGATATAAAATTTCAAATTTAAATCTGGCAATGGGTAAGGAGGGCTTAAATGATGATTCTCCTAGTAATTCAATAAAAATTCAATAATTAATTTAAATTGTTTTTTTTTAGATTTACAATGGCTTCAAGCTACATAAATCGTTTAAATGATATTCCGCATTTTGAAGTAAAAATTACTGAAAAAAATGTAGAAACTACAGTTCAGCTTTTGATAAGTCACTTAAAAAAATCTTGGAATATTAACAAGTTAAATAAAAAGGTTTATGATTCTGGTATTACAAATAAACTTTATGGTTATTATGTGAATTATGATGGTACAATAGTTTCACCACAATTTTCTGAGTATGGACGCTCTGAAATAGTGCTTGTTAGAATCTATGGAAACAAAACAGATTTAGTTATTGATCGAGCTCAAGAACTGCGCAATTTTGAAGAGTTGTCAAGATGTGGTATTGCCCCAAGTATTTATTGCACTTTTTCTAATGGGTATTGCTACAAATATATGGAAGGAAGAGCTTTAAATCCAAAAGATTTCAGTGATAAGAATATATTAAACCTTTGTGCACGCCAGGTTGCAAATATCCATTGCCTCCAACTTTCTGAAAATTACCTTAAACATTATAAATTGGAATCTGTTTTATTCAAAACAATAAACCGCTATATTAGCCTGATTCCTCATAAATATAACTCTGAAGAAATGCAAAAAAAGTTTTTAAATTTTTCTTTTAAAATTTATGTTCAGTGTTCACATAGTTCAGATAGAATGTTTATAACAAAAAGTTTTTTCAGAAAATCAGAAAAATAACAAATGTTAACATGTAATCAAGTTTTCATTCCTTGATAATTCTGAGAATCTAAATTTATTATACACATCATTTGTAAAGTTTTTCAAAAATTTATACCCATTTTTTAGTTCCATTATATTTTTCATAGCACTTAATTCTTTTTATCAATTTTTTAGTAAATTTTACTTAATAATCTTTTTGTAGCTAATTAAAAATTCTGTCTGGATCATGTGACAATGACCATGTGTTAGTATTTTATACTTTTGTGTTATTTGAGAGAAAAAAATTAACTCAAAAAGTATATTTGTTTTTATATATTTCTAAATGGTTTTATTTTTAAATTTTTTTTTAGATACCTTGAATTAATTCCTTCTATTGAATGCTTACATTCAGAGGTTAATCAAATTATATCCATTGTAGCAAATATGAAGACAAAAATTGTGTTTTGCCATAATGACTTGCTATGTGGAAACTTTATATTTGATGAATATAATGGTATTTTTTTAGGTCTTTTTTTTTTATGTGTATAACATATTTTTTTGAAAAAAGTCAATATGATAATCAAAAAAAAGGTAATCCTTATAATGTCCTTTATAATTCTCTAAGGTTTAGGACAAGTCATTTCAATTTGTGTTAACATATTTTGTTTAAACTTCTTTACTGTAAAATTTCTTTACAAGGATAGGATATCAACAAAAATATTTTTTTTAAATTTGCTTTTTTTAATATAGCACAATCTTTGCGTCAGTTTTTTGTTATTCAAGAACTACAAACCAAGTCAACATGGTTTGAGGTTTTTGAAAAGTTTTTTTGCATTTAACAGTTATGTTCAATTTTTAAGTCACCAGTTGTTAGTTTTACCAGGTGATATCAGGTTTAAAATCAAATCTGATTTTTTTTGCAGATATTTTAGTTTATTCAATAAATAAAATTATTGTGTAATTTTGTTTCAAAGTTGCACATCTTTTTAGAGTATTACTGTTTTTATATTTTCGAGTATTACATTTTAATTGTTGTTGTTATTGTTTTTGTTGTTGTTACTTTAATTTTGTAATTATTATTGTTGTTATTATTACTATCATTATTAATATTATTATATAATCATTGTTATTATTATTATTATCGTTATTATCAATATTGTAATTATTGTTATTATCATTATTGTTATTACAGGTATTTACAGAGATATAGGTGATTTGGTAAATTGTTGATAATTCTATGTGGTTTGCATATCGTTTATGATTTATTGTACCATATGTAATCATATGCAGGGGCTTGTTACAAGATTTTTTTGATTAATGAAAAGCATAATGAAACACAGCTTACATATTTATATTGGTTAAAGTTAAATTCCATTATTATATATATTAAAGTACTGTGTTGTAATTAAATTTAACTTTAAACCAAGTTAAAAATCATTTAAACATATAACAAAAATTACTATTTATTATTGAATAATATCAGTTGAGTTCAGTAATTTCTGGTTGGAGATACCTAATAATAACTTGAGAAAGACTTGTTGAATTAATTCCAAATTTTTTTAATAATGAAATTTATGATGCTTAAAATATAATAGAATTTTTTTGTAAGTAGGTGCCATCATGGTCTGGATCTTGCTTTCAGTGGCCCTTTTCAGTGCTGCTATCTATTTTTGCTTAAATTTTTTGCTGATTTGTTTCTTTTCAACAAGAATCCTTTTACGATTTCCCAGTACTCTCGATAATGTGCAACTTGGAGGATTCGCATCTTTTGGAATGATCTCAATGCCATTTTGGTCATTCTACTTCATTGTATTCTTGGAGTAGTGAATTGTTGCCAAATCTGAACTTGCTGTCTTTATAAATAAATAACTGCCTTGCTGTGTTTATTAATTAATAGTAAAAATTTCATTCGATATACAAATTGGAAGTCATAGTCTTTCGAGTGATGAATGAACTTTTAAGGCTACAAGAGCAAATCGCTTGCCACATGCAGATCTTCAGAGCAAACTTTTTAATCTGAATATCCTTAAATTTGTTGCTAACATAGACACCTTTTGAGTGATAATAATATTGATAGCTGGGCAACTGTGAGAAATACTTTTTGCAGTAGGTTTTGTTGTCCACAATAATGCATAAATTTTTGACTATGCGAATCTCAAAGAGATCTCTTTGAGATTGGCATAGATATCTTGTAATTGACCAGATGATCAAATTTACTTTTCACTGCCTCAAAACTCAAACCTTTTGGTTTGAGTTTTGTTGTATTGCCTCTATACATCTTCTACTAAAGATTCAGCAACTTTTGACAATTTTGCAATTTTTGAATGTAAGTAGGTTGGATTTAGAAGAAAAGTTTCCAAAACCTTTTTCCTATTATTCAATTTTTGACTCATTTTGGACTGATAAACTGTTAGTATTAGTAAAAAACCAATACAATTAAATATGTATATAGAGCATCATTATAAAAAAAATTTGGAATTAATTGGTTAACTATTTTTCAAGTTTAGTATATCTGGCCATAAAGAATTGAGCCCAACTGATAGTTGAACTCCCATCCTCAGCAATGCACTGCAATGACATTTCAGGGTTTCATTACACCCATGACATTTTGGGGAGTTGAGATGGAAAACTTTTGGAAATTATAACTAATGATTATTCCTAATGATAAATCCTAGAAAACTCATTGAGGACTTTTTGGAAAGATATTTTTTGTTGGTTATAGGAAAGTTAAAGTTTTTAATATTAAACGACAAATTCAAATTACCATATTTGGGCATTTTTGACAAATTAGTGTTTTAGATAAATTTAAAGATAAAAAATAAAAACAGTAAAAAACGTTAATAACTCCATAACTAATCATAAATAAGGTTTTCAAACATTTTTCAAAAATCTCTCTGGTTTTGAAAACATACATTCATGAGATCTGCTTGTAAGTTCATTTTAAAAACAGTCTTGGTATAACTTAGGAGGATGCGAATGGATAATTTAGTTTAAAACACCAAGATCATTTCTCTCTAAAATTTGACTTTTACTGAATCACATCTGTAAGCAGTTTTAGATGTGTTGCTTTACAATAGAGAAACTTAAAACAGTTTCTTGTATCTTTATTATTTACTTCTACAGATAAATTGTCAAGGCCATAACCGACATTAAAAATAATTCAGCTAAATGATAAAGCACTCCATGAAGAATTTCAATGATAAAGGTGTTGACTAGAAACTAGTATTACTAGAGAGTATTACACTGATTTGAGAATTGTAACACGCTTTTCTTTGAGCATAAGAGTGCATCTTTTATAGTAGAAATTAATTCTTCAGAAAAAAATCTACGACCTTGTGATCCAGTTGAAGATGCTCCTCCATTCTTACCAGATTTTCAACACATAATTGCAGTTTTCGTGTTGCAATTACATATTGGTTTACCAAGTGATCCTGTTTTTCCAACCCAAATTATAATCTAGGTGACACTGAAACAGTAGTTTTAAAAACCAGGTAGTCCCATTTACATATGAATGCCTAATACATATGCTTTTTTGATCAGGTTTGGTTTGAGGTTTTTTAATCAGTTCTTTTCCTGTAGCAAAATCTCCAATTTCAGTAAGAAAGATTCTCATTAACTAGTTTTTCGTACAACATCTGTTTCTTCCAATGATCGATCAATCATGAATTTTTCACTATTTCAATATCTGTCCATTCAGTAGTTTTTGTTTTGCAAAGTATACAATCTCCACCTCCTAGTCTGCTGATGATTCGCTTGAAGTTTAAATCCTTCATTGTATCTTATATATAAACTTTGACATTGAGATAATTTTTTTTTAAACTGACAGCACATAATTTTGGCATTCAATTTTTTTTTTTTTGCAATATCAGTAGTTAGGACAATAAGAGCTAGTAAATCTTGATTAGTTTTTGTTTCTCTTATCAAAAACACAAAACTTAACAATCTTGATGCATTTGGTGAATTTTGCCACAGTTTTATGTTTTTACTATCTCGATGGCTTTATTATTAGTTTTATGTTTTTACTTTCAGGGGAATAGGACTAGAGGTGTATATTTTTACCAAATAGAGGTGTACTGGATATTTTTGCCAGATAGTGAACTTTTTTAAAGTTCTATAAGTGTTTATGAAGAAAAAACAAGTCTTGCCAGTCTACAATAAATAGTATTCAAGATCTTACTTTAAAAAATCAGTGAAAAACTGTATGACATGGGATGTGCTGTCGAAGTATAGAAAATAGTAATTAAAAAAAAAACAAAATTTAGGCTATAAAAAACGATTTTTCTTTCTACATTATTAATGCATATACCTGTGTTATACCAGTTTTTTATTGATTTAATTTTTTTAAATGTTGAACACTGTTTAATGTAGAATGGCAAAACTTGTTTTTATTTCATAAACATTTATAGTACTTGAGAAAAATTCACTATCCACCATATCTGGCAAAATTATCCGGTACACCTCTAAATAAGACCATGTTAAAATATTTTTGGTTTGCTTTAAATTAATTTTTTTTTTGATTTCATTAATGCTTGTTACCCTGGTCCATCGCAGCTATCCTTAAAACACATTTGATACTCATTATTATCTACTAGAATAAAAGTTTAAATATATTTAAAACAGAATCAATTATCACTTTTACAATTACTTTCTATTGAACAGAAAAATCTTTTGCATCCAAAATATGACTAATTGTAGGAAACAGTTTATTTATTTCTGTTTATATATTATTGAATAATTTAATAATACAGTTCCATAATACTTGAATAGTTCAATAATACAGTTCAATCATACTTCATAATAATTCAATAATACATTATACAATAATAATTCAATAATACAGTTCGTTTTATATGTAGTTATTTTTTTATTTTTTTGATAAAATTAGGGACTCGTTATGTTCAAGGGTCTTAAGAGCACCCTGAAAATATTTTTTATCCAAAAATTTTTTAAAACCAGTGTTTTTTAGCATATAGAACACATTGATTAGGTGGATGTATATATTTTTCAAAAATGTTGTTTTTTAAGACCCAATATATACATATATGTATATATGTATATGTATATGTATATGTATATATATATATATATATAAATATATATATATATATATATATATATATATATATATATATATATATATATATATATATATATATATATATATATATATATGTATATATATATTTATATATATATATATATATATATATATATATATATATATATATATATATATATATATATATATATATATATATATATATAAATATTAGGGTGGGTCATAAATTTTTTTTTCTTGTTACAGGCTCTAAACATTGCTAATAGTTATTAATATTGATACTATCAAATATGAGAATGATTGCGATAGATTTAAAGGGCGCAACTTTATTGGTAAAATTACCGATACCCTAATATTTTGGAGAAAAAAAGTTTTTTAAAAGTAGGTCAACCTGGTACTCAAAAGAACCGAAATTTTATAAAAAAATTCGAAAATAATAATTGTTTTATAAAAATCATATTGTTATTAAAAAACATGTAAAAATGCACCTTTTTCACTTTTAGTTAAAAAACTATAGTTATTATGCAATAAAATCTAAAATAATAATTTTTATATGAAAAAATTATTATTTTTGAAATTTTTATAAAATTTCGCTTTATTTGAGTACCTACATCACATAATTTTGAAAAACTTTTTTTTTGAATAATAATAGGGCCTGCTAATTTTTGTAATTATAGTTGCGGGTGGAAGACATTGTTCAATCCATAGAAGTAAATACTTTGCTAAATTAGTACATAAAAAAACAACTTTCTAGACCATAGCCAGGTTAGCAACTCTAAAAAAAAAAATTATGACCCACCCTAATACAGATATAATATATATATATATATATATATATATATATATATATATATATATATATATATATATATATATATATATATATATATATATATATATATATATATATATATATATATATATATATTAATATGAGATGTTCAGATGACACAACGATAACGACCTTGTGACCCAGTTGAAGATCCCCCAAGATATTTATATTTTAAAGACAACTTGTTGTTTTATTGTTGTTTTCTAGCTTTTTACAATAACAATTAAATACTCATTAAAAACACGTGTTTTATCGTCAGTGTGATCATACTAAACAGTTTTCTATGACTAATTAAAATATTGCAGTGACGGATCCAGAAATTTTTGGTGGATGATTTTTTATTATCTCATTTCACAAATTAAATAATAATAAGTTGCGTTTTGACAATGGATCCCTTACGTACAAAATGTGTTTCTACAAATGGAATAGTAATATGGAGTTTTTTAATTATATTTTATAACTATAACTTTTTAATATAATTTTAAATGTCTGTTTTCTTAAAGCAAAAAACATAAATAATAATAATTTAATAATTATGATTATGGTATATAATAATTGATTAAAACAGTTTAAACTGATTAAAAATGTACTTTTTTGTAAACTTATTAAAGACATGCTCTTTCTTGAATTAATTAAAGCCTTGTGTTTTTTTTTAACCGATTGAAGATGCCTTCTTAAAAAGATGTTATTCTAACTCATGTTTTTTTTGTGTGTTTTTTTTTAATAAATGTTTACATCAATTAAGGTTTCAACTAAATTTTTAGGGGCTTGATGGGTTGTTTGGCAAGAGATCAAATTTTATAGCAGGTTGATGCCATTATTTTGCAAATTATTTCTTTTTTCACCTTATTGGTGGCATTAATCCACTTTTTTTGGAAGTCCTTTTTATTTTTTGTTACTCCTTGTCTTACGAAAAAGTCCTTTAACAATTGCCAAAATATCTTCAATGTTGCGTTCTTCAGGACAATTTGGAGGATTCGCATCTTTAGGAATAATTTTCACGTTATTATCTTTGCACCATTGTAGAACTTTTTTAGAATAGTGAGAAGCAGCAAGATCTGGCCAAAAGAGACATTGGTATTTGTGTTTTTTCATAAATGGCAAAAGTCTTTTTTGGAGGCATTCTTTAATGTAGAGATTGGCAGTCAAGGTCTTCTTGTGACAAAAAATAGGGAATGTACACCACAGCTACAAATTGCTTGCCACACAAGGAACATGGATGCAAATTTTTCTTGTGGAGTATATTAAAATTGATTATTGACAGGTTTTCTTTGTTCTCATAGTAAAATTGTTGACCATGAAGTTGTGAAAAATCCGCCTTGCAATATGTTCCCTCGTCTTCAATTATGCACATACTTTTATCTGCTATTATTTTAACTAACTTCTTTGCGCGTCGAATTCCTTTAATTTCACCATTTAAGCTTTTCTTAAGTGTACTTTTTGTATGAAATGCTTTAATTCCAGCATTTTTAAGTACTTCTTTGAAATAAGAATGCGAAATCTTGAATTTTCTTGCTAGATATTGTTGTGACTGTTTATATTTTTGGAATTTGGATTTTTTGCTCTTGAACACAAAATCGACTTTACTTTTTTGGATTTAAGCAAAGCTTTATTTTGAGACTTTGAGTAGTCTTAAACTTAATTATAATACCTATGACTGTAGATTTTGGGATATTTGTATGTTTAGCAATCAAGTGATATGAAGTCGATGGATTTTTGCAAATAAAATTCATAATGTTTTTACGCTCAATTAGTTTCTGAAACATTTTGCAAATCAATGATTTGTAAACATAAGTTTATCAACATAATTAGAGAAAAGGAAGTAACGTTTAATTAAAAAAATACAAGAAATAAAAAGCATTTGTGGTTTTAGAGAAATCTCAATTTAAACTGGAACAGATTTTTCCGTGTCCACTAGTGAGAAATAGTTTTAAATTGTGTGTTTTGTTTTATCTAATATAATAATAATAGAAGTAATATGCTAATGATAACAAGAGATGTTAGTGATTGTGATTTATTTTTATTTTTACTTCAGACAAAGTTGTTTTAATTGATTATGAGTATGCTGGCCCAAACTATGCTGCATATGATATTGCTAATCATTTTAATGAATATGCAGGTAATCTTTTAGTTATTTACTATCTTTTTAACAAACATTTTCAAAATCAGATTTGCAAATATTTTGATTAAACAGTATTGTCTAATTTTTTTTTAATAATAAAAAGGTATTGAAGATTTTGACTTCAGCTTGTATCCTAGCAAGGAAGCGCAAATGGAGTGGTTAAATATATATATGATTGAAACCAATAAAATTAAAGGTATTAAAAACTGTTTGTGACAATAATATTTCTAATTTGATACAGATTAAACTAATACTGAGATATAAAAAAGCTTACTACTATAACTACTTGAATTAATGAATAAATATTTCTCCATTTCCTTGTTATCAATATACTCAACTTAAAATCTCTTATAAGTAACATTTTCTATTTAACTAATCCTGCTTTTACTAATATATATATATATATATATATATATATATATATATATATATATATATATATATATATATATATATATATATATACATATATACATATATACATATATACATATATACATATATACATATATACATATATACATATATACATATATACATATATACATATATACATATATACATATATACATATATACATATATACATATATACATATATATATATATATATATATATATATATATATATATATATATATATATATATATATATATATATATATATATATATATATATTATATATATATATATATATATATATATATATATATATATATACAAGGCCTATTCTAGGAAAAAAGTTTGGGTGACGGTGTCTCCCCCCTGGCCCAGAGGAATTTAGAGGAAAATCTGCATTTTTTAGCTAAAACATTAATGTTTGCCAGGAAGAAAGAAAAAAAAAAAGGTCCTCAAAATTTAATTTGGGTGGCGCTCAAATATGGTTGACGCTGTCAATCAAAAACATTTAGAATAACCCCTTATATATATATATATATATATATATATATATATATATATATATATATATATATATATATATATATATATATATATATATATATATATATATATATATATATATATACACTGCCTGGCCAAAGTGGCAAAAATGAAAAAATATATAAAAAACAAATAAACTCTAATGCAAAAATGGAAAAAGATATAAAATCTAATAAATTAATTGCATTTAACTGAACTTCATTACAAATTAATTGACCTTATTTAAAAATGAACAAGTTTATGCAGGATAATATGAACAAATATTTGTAACTTTTTTATTGACAAGAAATCCACCCTTTGCTTTCATTATTGCACATACACGTTTTGACATACGTTTGATTAATTTATCTAAATAAATGGAAAAAATATTTCTCCACACATGTTGTAAAATTGACCACAAATGAGTTGTTGATGTAGGGCACTTTTTTTGTACTTCACAATTCAGTTGTTCCCATAGCAACTCAGTTGGGTTAAGGTTTTGCGATTTTCAAACTATTTTGAAAAAAAACCAAAGCTTGGTTTTTTTTCAAAATAGTTTGTACAGTATTTGGATGTGTGTTGTAGGTTATTATCCTGTTGCATGTTGAATCCGGGCCCAATTAGACGTTTTCAACATGGTATGGTGTTTCTACATAATATCTTATATTATCCTTATCAAGAATTCCATTTACTTTCACAAGGTTATTAACCTGATTAGAAGCAAAACAGCCTTACACCATTACAAACCTTCACTATGTTTGACAGTAGGCTGTATACACTGTGGATGGAATTTTTCAGTGGCTGTTCATCTCACATAGATTCATCATTTTGTTCCAAAAACAATGAATTTAGATTTGCCCATCTACGTTACATTTTGTCAGTAGATTTCTGTCTAATTTTTATGAACTAGAGCCCATTTAAACTATTTTTTTATTATTATTTTTGAAATAAGTTTTCTAATAGCTACTCTACCATTTAAGCCATCACTTTCAGATAATTTTATTATGAGCAGCATTGAATTTAGATAATGTTTTTTGGGCTACTACTTGTCTATTTTGTTTACATGAGATTATAATTGACTTGTCTTATGTCTTTGATGTTTTGCATGGGCGTCTACTTCTTTTCCTATCTTTATATGTACCATTTATTTAAACCAAATTTGATTGCGATATTTTCAACTATTTTTGAATAAATCTGGTAAAATGACCATTATTTGCCGAAGTGACAATTACAGAATGTGTTTTTTGTGATAAATTTAATTGACATTTTATAGTAATTTCTGGCTTTTTAATATCTAAAAATAATCAAAATGTGATTTATAAATTAAAAACTAAAAAATAATATTAAATATATATATATATATATATATATATATATATATATATATATATATATATATATATATATATATATATATATATATATATATATGCATGCATGTATGTTTGTATGTTTTAATTCATCAACACAAGACAAATAAATTCCCAGAAAAACAATACTAATACTATAGTATAACATAAAAGATGTACTAATTGCGGATTTTGCATGTTAAAATGAAGAACTTAAGTCTTTGAAACAAGGCCTAATTAACATTTTTATATTTTGACCTTCTGGAATTTCAAATGCATTGGTAATACTGAGTTATACATGGTACCATCAGGCTAGCTAACACCAGAGTATCTTTTATCTGTTTAAAAAAATGTGGTGAAAGAAAAAAATGTAAAAGTTTTGATTATGAATTATATATGTTTTATCAATAGCTATTATTAAAAATACAAATAAAATGTCCGACTTTTAGTTAGGTATCTAAATTCAGTGTAAAATAAAAAGCAAAAGGTGTCACTTTGATAGTAAATTTTTTTTGGATAGTCAATTAAAAAATTTTATTTCTTTGTTAATTTTCACTTTTATGATAGTTAACTTTGTAAATAAAAAACAATTTATGCTTTAAAATTAATTTACTTTCATAATATTATTTTAAATAAAATCTTTTTTAAACAAAAAAAATTAAAGTAAATAACTAATGTTCAAATGTCAACAATAATAGTTTGAAAAAACTCAAATGTATATCAAAGTAATTTTAGATGCTTAATTGTTTTATTATTATTTTTGTTCAATTTAATTTAATTTTTATACTATATAATTTAGTTTTTACAAAAATATTATGTAATCATTTAAAAAGAGTTTAGTAATATATTTTCACATAACTATTTTTAGACTAAAATTTGATATTTAATTAATAGTTTTGTTGATAGTTACTATAAGTTTTAATTTTTTAATTTTAAATTCACAACAAAGTTTAGCTGGAGAAAATAAAAGTTTTATCTTTTTATAAATAAAGGTTTTACCTTTTATAAATAAAGGTTTTACCTTTTATAAATAAAGGTTTTACCTTTTATAAATAAAGGTTTTACCTTTTATAAATAAAGGTTTTACTTTTTATAAATGATATAAAAGTTACTCTTATGCTGTACTCAAATATGTTTTTATATTGAAAGTCTAAATGTTTTTTTTCTATAAAAAAATCTATTTAAATCATTAATTGAAATTTAATGATTAAAAGAAGTAAAAAGTCATTTTATTCCATCAATGTAAATGTTTGAACATATTTATTGTTTAATTCTCCTTTTGTTTTCTTTTGATTTTGAATATGGATTATGGAATATAGATTTTTGATGATAGAAAAACATGAGAAACCAATGAGAGATAAGTAATTTGTATATAAATTTAAACTTTATTCAAAGTTTATTCTTTGATTCAATCTAAATGGCAGAACCATTTATATTTAAAAGAGAAAAAAAGATTTTTATGCTTAGATGCACCATCCATTGCATCATCATCAGTAATTTAAAAACTCTCTTATGTTTTCTGATAGCTTTAATATTGCTAAATGTCTTGACACACTATTTTGAAACATCACTATTTTATTTTTTTTGCTCTCTTGCAGGTTTTTTAATGCAAAAAAAATAATTCAAACAAATTTTTATATTTTAAAACCGTATATTTAATAAGTTTTTTAAAAGGAGGCGCTGATATACAGGCCAAGTCTTAAAAACAGAGTTATTAGCACCACTCTATAATAATAAAAATAAATAAATAAACATGGCATTAAACATTTTTTCAAATAAATTTGAAAACAAAAAAAAATTGTTTTTTATTTTTCAATAAAAACAAAAAAAGTGATATCTATATTTTTGACTACTTTTTGTATTTTAGATTAAAACAACTTAGAAGAACAATAATTGTTGTCTTTCTAAGTATTCCAATTTTCTAATCTTGTTACTCAATAAATAAATAAAGCCTTTTATCTATGGATTAAGACCTTTTACTTAGATGCGTTCAACACAGAACATTTGAGTGTTATCTTGATGAACTCCCTGAAGACCTTAACAAGTTTAAAATCCTGACAAATTTTGTGGTTCCTGATGTTTATGAGATGAGTCATGAATCAGCTATACAGGTTTTACAATCTGTTTACATCAAACCATCAAATGGAGTATGCACAACGTCTTTTAGCAACATGTAAACAACAGTCAGCAAAAGATTTAAAGTTTAGCAAAAGACTGTAACTGTAAACAGGTGTCTGCAATTGAATATTGTGATGAGTATATTAGAGATCTATTTATAACTGGGATATATTTGCAAGGCATCAAATACTACTAGAAAACAGTACAATCCCAGACTTTATTTCAACATTGAGATTTGGTTGATATATGGTTAAAAAAACAATTTCAACATTATTTCAACATAAGTTCAACTTCAAAAATGTTGAAAATTTCAATGTTAATTCAACATTTTTTTTTTTTTTTTTTAATTTTACTTCACCTCCTCAAGGTCGAGAAGGATACTACAGACGAGGAGGCTACTTATTTTGTGTAATAAATTTCTTATTTCAACAATAGTAAGTATATACAATCTTCTCCCTAACTTTCTTTCTTCTTTTCTTATCTATTTTTTGCTGTTTTGAACTCTGTTGTTAAAAATTCCTAGCTCTAGTTTGAGCATGCTGTTAGCAATTCTTGATAACTCTTTCTTTTTTATGTGCTTCCTAAATAAACCACATAACTACTTATTCTCTTGGTAATTCATTAAGAGTTTATAATATTAAGACAAGTTAATTTTTGTGCCAACAACTGGAATGGCATTTTTAAGAAAAAATAAATAAAAAATGATCAAAAAGGGACCAATTATTCAATTAACTCCTGTTGATTGAATTAACTCCTGTTAATTGAATATCAAATGACTTTTCTAGAATGTCTGTAGAAACTTAAATAA